AAGTTGTTGATGAGCCAAGAAAAATGTTTCATTCTGTAAATGACAAAAATACAAAATTGAAAAAAATGAAAAATTATTTTAAAAAATAAATTAAATCGAAAATTATTTTAAACTACAAAAACCACAAAATTACATAATTTGAATAAATAATTTTTTTCTAAAATCAAATAATTTAATGTTAAAAATTTTAATTTACATTTGTCGAAAAGAAATATTTTTTCTCATTGCGCAATTTATTGTTTGGCGATTTCTAATAATTAGTTGCATGAAATAATAATTTATAAACTATGAATGAAGCTTTCTATATGATATTAATGTTTATTTAATGCAAAAATTCATCAAAAAATTTTAAAAAATTAACAGTTTTTTAATTAACAGAAATTTTTGTAGAAAAATTCGTAGGTTCAAAAATTGGAGGTACAATTTCACTAATATCTACAAATCATTTCTTTATAAACAGAAAACTTTCTTCATACAGAAAAAAATCGATTAAATTGTATAAAAAATAAAACCTTTTTTCGTCCTTTATAAAAAGAAAATTTTCAACTCGACTTTCAGTAAATTTTATTTTTTCTAAACCCCCAGAAAAGAAAAGTTATAGTTGTACTGAAAAAATTAATTACCAAACGAATCCGAAGGAAATGAAAAGGATCTATATTTATTTTTTCTATACAAATAAAGTGGATTGATGACTAAAAATAATTATTTTTCGAAAGTATTTAATCATTAAGCTAATCGAACTTATTTACGTTCGACTCTAATAACTATTTCAATTAAAAATCCCTATTTCCATTATTAATAAAATTCCCTATTAAAAAAAACCAAATTACGTACTCATCTGATGAGAATATATGTGTGTAAAAAAATAGTTTTTTCCATTTAGTGTCAAAAAAAAAAACTAAAATAGTAAATTTCCTTTGATTAGGTCGAAAAAAAAATTTGAAAGTCTTTCAAAAAAAGGTACGATTCTAAAATTTCTCATTTTTTCAATGTCTATAAATGATCTAGAGTGCACTTATATCAAATTTTTCGAGGACGAATTATAAATAAATATATATTATAAATAAAATGAAAAGAAAAAGAAGAAAAACTAACTTATAATAATATAGAGAGACGTTGTAATTTAGAGAATCGCTTGAAATGACAAATAATAAATATGAAAAAATTAATTCGCATTACCAAAAAGTAAATTATTTCATGGCTGATTTATGTTTAGCTGTAAGAGTACAGAAAAGTTTGTAGACTGATAAATCTTTCTTAATTGCCAAATATTTAAGTGAAAACAAAAAATGAAACCCGAAAATATGTGAACATATTTTAAATAATAAGCTTCGTCTTCGTCATTGTTTTTTAGATATTAATTAAAATATAATGCATACAAAATTTATCAATGTGTGACATAAATTTATATAGTTTACGCTCAAAAGAAATATTTTCTCTTGACTTTTGAAATGATTTTTTGTCATTTGGCGTCAATAATTTATTGGTATTATTATTAATTATTATCATTAATTAACATTTTTAATAATTAATAATTTATAATATTGAGTCATAATTATAATAATTATAATTATGATAATATATTGTTTTATATTAGACAATTTTAAAATTACAATATATATTACTTTTATTATATATTTGAAAAGTGCTCCGACTTTCAAGAAATATTTTTTATTACTGAAATTTAACTTAAGTGATATTGAGAAACACGTTGTCCTACTAAAAACGACTTTTACTACTGATTTTAATATTAATTTTTATTAGAAACATGTTGTCTGGCTAAAACTTCCCTTTACTACTGATTTTAATAGCGAATTATTACTAGATACATGTCTGACTTAAATTTATTTTTACTACAAATTTTAATTATAAATTATTACTAGATTCATGTCTGACTGCAACTTACTTTTACTACTGATTTTAATGGAAATCACGTTGTCCTACTAAAAACGACTTTTACTACTGATTTCAACAGCAAATTATTACTAGAAACATGTTGTCTGACTAAAATTTTCTTTTACTACTGATTTCAATAATGATTTTAGCTGAAACATGTTGTCTGACTAAAACTTACTTTTCCTACTGTTTTCAATATTAATTTTTACTAGAAGCATGTTGTCTGAGTAAATCTTACTTTTACTACTGATATGAATTCAAAAATTTAATTTACTTTAATTTAATTAAATTTAAAAAATTAATTTAATTAATTATTAAATTAATTTTTTTTTAATTTAATTTATTTCAATACGTTGTTCTACTAAAAACGACTTTTACTACTGATTTTAATAGCGATTTTTAGCAGAAAGATGTCTGACTATACTTACTTTTACTACTCATTTTATTTTAAAAATTTAGTTTAAACAAGTCGTCTGACTAAATCTTACTTTTACTTCCGATTTGAATTAAAAAATTTAGTTTAAATTTAAACATGTCGTCTGAATGAAACTTACTTTTACTACTGTTTTTAATAGTAAATTTTTACTGGAAACACGTTGTTCTACTAAAAACGACTTTTACTACTGATTTTAGTAGCGATTTTTAGCAGAAACATGTTGTCTGACTAAACTTACTTTTACTACTGATTTTACTATTAATTTTTACTAGAAATACCTTGTCTGACTAAAACATACTTTTACTACTGATTTTAATTTAGAAAAAGTAGTTTAAATAAGTCGTCTGACTGAATTTTACTTTTACTACTGATTTTAATTAAAAAATTTAGTTCAAACAAGTCGTCTGACTAAAATTTACTTTTACTACTGTTTTTTATAGTAAATTTTTACTGGAAACACGTTGTCCTACTAAAAACGACTTTTACTACTGATTTTAGTAGCGAATTTTAGTAGAAACATGTTGTCTGACTAAACTTACTTTTACTACTGATTTTAATATTAATTTTTACTAGAAACACGTTGTCTGACTAAAACATACTTTTACTACTGATTTTAATTTTAAAAAAGTAGTTTAAATAATTCGTCTGACTAAAATTTACTTTTACTACTGTTTTTTATAGTAAATTTTTACTGAAACCACGTTGTCCTACTAAAAACGATTTTTACTACTGATTTTAATAGCGATTTTCAGAGTTTTTCAGCAAAAACATGTTGTCTGACTAAAACTTACTTTTACTTCTGATTTTGATAGTAATGCTAAATCATTTATTTAGATTAAGAGAATTTTTTTAAGAGTTAAAACTTTTACCTGGAATTTTTTTGTATATTTTGAAAATAAGTAGTTAAAGTCAGTACATGTTAGACGTAATTTATGTTTTCTTTATAATTTCGATGTTTCTGCCTGACTATAAATGTCATTTACTACTAACTGCGATAACAATTTTTCCCTCATAAACTAACGTCTGACAATTGATATCTTTTTCTACTGATACCCAGAGAATAATAATTATTAATGTTTCGTCTGAACAAAACTGGCCATTATTACTGCGACCGAACTAAATAAACATTTTGTACTTAATACTGATTTTAAAATATTTTAATGTAATAAAATTTTGGTTTTTAATTAAATTTAAGTTATTTAATTATTTATTGAATTTAATACTTTTTTACTAATTTAATTTTAGAGACGTAAAAAAATATAAATTATAATAAATATTCGTTTAAAAATTGACAATTTGCCTTTCATTCGGTTAAAAAGTAAGTAATATAAATTAAAATAAATACTGCTTTAAAAATTGGTTTTAAAAATAAAAGAAAATTATAACAAATATTAAAAATATAAATTATCTTCGATTGTCAATAAAAAATATTTTTTTTTAGTGTAAAAGAAAAAATGTACTACAGTTCAAAAAAAAAAAAAAATTCCTCTTCAGTTTTAGAATACAGCATATTGTACATGTTTGTATTATAATAATTATATAAATATAATATACATTAAAGATATATGAAATGTACTTCGAAGAAAAAAATAAATTATATTTAACGTCGATGTTTGACGTTTGCTGTATAATTTATAGTAAATATTTATTTCCCACTACGAGAGAAATTCCTGAATTTTTTTTTCTTTTTGTGAAAACATTTTTAAATGAAAAAGTGAAGAAGGAGATTTTTTAAAAGGAAAAAAGTTTTGCATTTTTTTTACACACACTCTCAATATATTTACAATACTATAAATTCTACATGTTCATAACATAAAATACGTTTAAAAAAAAAAACAGCACAGATATTCATTAATTTTTACTCCTATTAAGTATTACAGGTAAAAATAAGAATTTCCAGTACATAAAAAAAACCAACAATAATCGTATATAAAATAAATGGATGAGCAAAAATTTTTCTTTCTTTCTACATAATCTAAACTATTTTCTAATTTTAAAATTAACATGCGCATAACATTCATTCGAGAAATATTTTACTTTGAGTAAATTTGGATAAAAACCAATTTTTTTTTTGTTTACTAAATTAAAAATTTTTTTCACACTATACAATAAATACAAATATGATTACAGTGTTTATAGTTTCTAAAATAAAAATCCATATAAGTATATCTACATTTTTTTTAAACTAAACCAACCGAACAGTAAAAATTTTTCAATTATAGTCTGCTGACTAGAAAAAATAATTTACAATAAACGTTACACTTTTCTTTAAAATTAAATTCACATTTCTTTTTTGTTTTTCTAAACAGTTTACAAACAACTTATACACTTTTTGCGTTTGACAATATTAATGAAATTTTCTTTTCAGTCCATATATTTCTCATTCTAAACTTATATAAAAAATATATCTTCTTATCACAATTTTCTTGAAAGTATCATATTGATACAAAAGTGAATTAAATTAATATATTAATTAATTTAATTTAATATTAAATTAAATATAATTTAATATATTTAATAATAAAGAGAGAATATATATTAAATTCTGTAAAAGTATTTTACAATTTGGGGAAGAAGTACAAGAAAGCAAAATTTTTATATAAAAAATACTAAACATTAAAAAAAACTTATGTGAAATTTAGTAAAGTTATATTAAAATTTAATTAATATTCTTGAGATTTGATAAAATTATTTTAAATTCTACATAAATTTTTTTAAAGTGTAGTATTTTTTACATCAAAATTTCAAGTTTTAAATTGTAAAATATTGTTACGAAATTTAATATACATTCTCTCTCTGTGTATAAAAAATTCGAGTTTGATCCACATTTTAATTTTTGGTATCAATTCGTTGCAATTTGATACTTTTAAGTAAACAGTGATGTGATATGAGAATGAAGAAAAAAAAACCAGTAGCAGACACGAGTAAATTCATTAATTAACGCGTACAGTAAATAAATTAATATTCATCAAAACAGTATACATAAAACAACAAATTTTAACGAAATTATATATAGTTACTAAATTAAAAATAGAAAATCAGTAATATGAAGAGAAATTATGCTTTCAATATAAAAAGAATACTTAATTCAAGTGCTTAAAATATAAAACCCTGTTTAATAAAACATTTTTTTTTTCTTCAGTTTTTAATACGTTACTGATGTGAATATATATTAAAAAAAGAGAAAATGATTTCAAGAGAGACAAAATATGATTGTTTCTCTGCAAGAGGAAAACAAAATTTGTACAAAATTTTTCTTTTTTAATTTAGTAAAATTATTACGTTACTTCTTTTACCCTAAGACCAATTAAGCAAAGAGCAATGAAAAATGCAGTCCAACCGGAAACTATTAAAAATCCATCGTAGACTATTGGTTCGTTTACTGAATATCCTTGATCAAATATTCCTCTCAAGGAAAGACCGGGAACAGTTATTGGTAATATTAAACTGAACCAGTGAAGGAATTTTGGCATTCCCTCTAACGGCCATATGCACCCTATTAATTAATAAATTAATTAATTAGTTCAATCAATTACATACTGAAAAAAAATTTATTTAATTCAAATAACCAATAATAATTGACTATTATCAATTAAATATTTAATTAAATCAAATAATATTTATTGGAGTCAATTAAATGGTATATTTGAACCAATAAATTCAGTATTTGAAGCAAATATGAATTGAACCATTTAATTGACTCCAATAAATATTATTTGATTCAAGTAAATATTTAATTGATAATAATCAATTAATCGGTTATTTGAATCAAATAATTTTTTTTCAGTGCAAGGTTGCCACAGGTCAGAAAAATCAGGGAATTCAGGGAAAAGTCAGGAAAAGTAGAATTGGTCAGGTAAATCAGGAAAAAGTCAGGGATTTTTTCTAAAGTACTGGAAAAAATTTAATTTGCAGGAATCATAATTAGTTTTATTTTATTTTTTAATGTATATTTAATTAATTATTGAAAATCATGGATTTATAGAAAAATTATAGTTAAAAACACTAAAAAAAATTGTATTTTAGAGAATTTTGTTCAAAAATTTAAAAAAATTCTAGTCAAAATTTCAATTATCGTTAAAAATAATAAAATTCTTCTCCAAAATTCAATTATTTTTATAAATAATAAACATTTCACAGAAATTCAACTATTCACAAATTTTTTATAAATTTTTTCGCAATAATTCAATTATTTTCATAAATAATAAAACTCAACATAGAATTTCAATTATTTTTAATACAATTTTATTCAAATTCCTCGAAAAATGTAATTCTATGAAGAAATTTAGTATTTAGGAAAACAATTGAATTCTTGCAACGAATTTTATTATATTTTTTTTAAATAATTGAAATCCTGAGAAGAATTTTATTATTCATGAGAATAATTGAAATGCTGAGATGAATTTTATTACAGTTTTTTTAAATAATTGAAATCCTGAGAAGTATTCTATTACATTTTTTTGAAAATAATTGAAATCCAATGAAGAAATTTAGTATTTAGGAAAACAATTGAATTCTTGCAACGATATTTATTACATTTTTTTTTTAAATAATTGAAATCCTGAGAAGAATTTTTTTATTCATGAGAATAATGGAAATCCTAAGCAGAAAGTTATTATACATTTTTTTTAAATAATTGAAATCTTATGAAGAATTTTATTATTTATGAAAATAATTGAATTCTTTTGAGAAATTTTATTACATTTTTTTAAATAATTGAAATCTTATGAAGAATTTTATTATTTATGAAAATAATTGAATTCTTTTGAGAAATTTTATTAAATTTTTTTTAAATAATTGAAATCCTGTGAAGAATTTTATTATTTATGAAAATAATTGAATTCTTTTGAGAAATTTTATTAAATTAGTAGATTTTGAAAATATTTTAATTTCATTTTAATCCTAGAAAAAATTTTATTATTTATGATAATAATTGAATTCTTACAATGAATTTTATTACATTTTCCTAAATAATTGAATTTATGTGAGAAATTGTATTACTTATAAAAATAATTGATTACTTGTGAAGGATTTTATTGAAATTTTTGTAAATAATTTAATTTTTTTTTTTTTAAAGATTTATAGAAATTTAAATTATTATAAAACAAGAAGATAGCGATCACTCTTAGTCGAAGACTTGGAGTGCTCGATATGTTCATGTTTTATAATAATATTTTTAAAAGTTATTAAATTTCAAAAGGTTTAAATTTGAGAATCAGAATATTCTTTTGGATCAGGGAAAAAGTCAAAATTTTGTCTGGAAATCAGGAAAAAAGAAAATTAATTTTTTGTGGCAACCCTGAATTAATAATAATAATAATAATGATAATAATAATAATAATAATTTAGAATTATTAATTCTTTTACTCACCACAAAGTAATATAACAGGATAAAAACTTCCCGTCGCTATAAAATTCGCTAAAGTGTGAGATTTACTATAAACAGATATCAGAAATCCTGGAAAAGTTAACAAAAAATTTACTATAATTAAAATTGAAATTATTAATAATTAAAGTTAAAATTTTCATTAATTATCATTAATTTTGTATAATGGTAAATTATGCAAAATTTAATAAAATTAAAATTGGTTTAAATTATAATTATAAACCAGATATTCACATTTTTTATGAGAATTTAATAAAGAAATAATATACTAAAATCTGCGAGTATTATTTTTATTAATTATTTTAAATTGAATATATTTATTTTTTTTTGTAATATAATTTTGTATTTTGTAATATAATGATAATAATAGTAATATCTCACCGTAACACATTCCGCAAAGGCCCATTAATATTACTAAACAAATGGCTGTTAATAATGGTCCTTCACAAACCAAATTGAATACTAAAAAGCTCAAGCTCAAACATATTGCACTCTGAACAAGAATCACTGTGAATTGTGTCAGCAAATGAGCCATTAAAATTTCCGTTGTTTTAACACCTGCAATAAATAAGAAAAATAATAATAATAATAAATAAATAAATAAATATTATTTCAAAGCTGAAAAGACACTTATTATAAATAATAAATACTTCCTCTATGAGGAAGTAATTAATGGTAAATAAAAAAATGAAGTAAGAAATTAATTAAAATTTTGATATTTGGAAATTATGCACCCAGAAAAAAGAAATATTTTACTCATAGCCAACTAGACTTTTTATTTGTTTCAAATAAATTTTATTTGGTTTAAATAAAATTTTATTCGGTTCAAATAAAATTTTATTTAGTTCAAATAAAAGTTTTATTTAAAGTCGAATACAATTTTTACTTGAAACAAATAAATAATCTAGTTGGCTCCGAGAAAAATATACTTTTCTTTGACTCAAATAAATTATATTTTGTTCAAATAAAATTTTTCTCTGGGTGTAAAATTGAAAAACGTATAATAATAAAATATTTATAATCATACTAATTAATAACAATACTAATAACAATAATAGCAATTTTTTAATGCACTTTAAAAATTTAATAATATAATAATAATTTAATAATAATTATTGCAAAATTGAATAAAGTTTAAATAAATAAAATGATAAATATATTTTATCACTAATATTTACACTATAATTTAAATATATATTCATTTACATTATATAATTATACTTAGTACGCTTTTAAAAAATTATTTATAGATTAATTTCTGCAATTTAAATGTTAGTTATATTTTTAGCATTATTTGCATAAAGAGATTACAAATCCGATGCGCCATTGTATTTATTATTATAAATATTAATTTTTCTATATAAATGAGATAGGTATCGGTTGAATTTAAAACAATAGACAGTTTATTATTCTCTATACTCAATATGTGTTGTGATCATTTATGATCAATGTCATCAAATAAAATTCTTTTTAGGAATATTGAATTTTTTCTTTTTTTAATTAATTTTTCAAATTTTAAATTTTAATTAAAATGATAATCATTTATTTATTAAAAATGAAAATACCTTGAACGAGACTTCTATCCCAAACTCCTTCGTGTCGATCAGTAATGATAATAAAACAAGCTACAGCAGTTGCTAGGAAAAAGACAAGTCTGCAAAAAAAAAAATTTTTAATTAATAGTTATTAATTATTATATTAATTGTATAAATAATTATTAATAATTGCAAGAAAAAAAAACAAGTGTGTAAAAAAATTTTCTATTTATAATTATTAATTATTATGTAAATAATTTTTAATGAGTAGCAAGGAAAAAGACAAGTGTGCAAATAACTTTTTAATTTTTGATTATATTGTACAAATAATTAATTAATTATAAAAGTATTTCTTAATAATTGCACACTTTTTTTAATGATGTCACATTAAGACAAAAAACGTATCAAAACGTTGCATCGCAACAATTTTTAATTGTTGCGATTTTTAATAATTTTTAAAAATTTTTAATAATTTTTTATAATAATTATAATAATAATTTTTTTTAATAATTTTTAATTTTTAATATTTAATGAAATTATCAACTCTATTTAAGAAATAGACAATTAACTCACGTTAATATAAACACTGGGGCTACAAACGATCTGTACGATTGATCCATTTTTCCAAATATTGGAGTTTCAAACTGAAAAAAAATTATTTATCAATATTTTTTCGGGGTTTTTCTTACAATCACAAAAAAATTTTTTATTAAACTCTTACTTTTACAGGCATATTTGCGAATTGCTCAGGAATCCCACATTCCCTATAGACTTTCCGTGTAATCTCAAAATATCGATTATACAATCTTGTTTGCATAAACATACCAATTTGTCTGTCTAAGAAAAAAATTGAAAAAATTAACAAAGAATTAATTGAACTTACGTCACTAGTAAAAAAAATTTGTATAACTTAAATTTTAATTAAATAATTAATTTTTTTTAATAATTCCATTAATTTTTTAGGTTTAATGAAGTATTAATCAATTTTTAAGTTGTAATGAAATATTAATCAATTAATTTTTTACTATCAATTAAATATTAATTAAATATTCATTCATTTTAAGTTTCAACTAAATTTTAACCAATTAATTTTTTACTTTCAATTAAATATTAATGAATCAACTGTTTAGTTTCAATTAAATATGAACTCATTAATTTTTCAATTTTAATTAACTGTAAAAAAAAAATTTTTCAGAATGATAAAAATTGAATTTCCTCTTTAGAGAAATTGATAATCGTTTTGTAATTCTCCATCTTATTTATTCTTTCTTACAGTCAAGAATAATAAAAAACAATAAACAAACATAATAAACAATTTATAATTGTGAAATGCAATTTTTTTGGTGTTTACAAAAAAAGAAGAATTTTAATTAATTAAATTTATAAATTTATTACGTGAAGGTATTTAATTTTTTAGTGATTCCTATAATTATACATAACTTTTTACGTACCACCCATGTCCAAAAATATTGGTATTTCACTAGCCGCGATTGTTCCTTCATCCAAATAATTAGTACTATCGCGTTTTTCTTCGAATGCTCGAGAAAAATTTTTTGCAAAATGCACTACACCAACAACTTTTGCTGACGATTTTAAAACAGCTCTGTTTGCCTCATCAATTGTTGAATAATATACCTAACAAAAATTTTTTTCTTTTAAATAATTCAATTATTTTTATTACACAAGTTTTTTTTAGTATAACTTTTTTTTTTTAAATTAAAATTGAAATTAAAATTTCTAATTTTAAAGTTATTTCTTAGTTAAAAGAAGTAAAAAAGCTATTCAGATAATAAAATAAATTAATAAACGATTAATTAATTATTCTTGAAAATATTAAATTTATTTTTCTGAAATTAATTGATTTCTGAAAGTAATTAATTTCTGAAGTAATTAACTTCTGAAGTAATTGACTTCTGAAAGTAATTAACTTCTGAAAGTAATTAATTTCTAAAAGTAGTTAATTTCTGAAAATAATTAATTTCTAAAAATTTTTAATTTAGGAATTAATTAATTAATGAATTAGAATTTAATTTAAAAGAGTTATTATTTGAAAATAATTAATTAGAATTTAATTAAGAAAAGTAGGAAAAATTTAGTAAATTTAGAAAATTTTAATTAATTTCAAAAAGTAATAAACTTCTAAAGGAATTAACTTCTGAAAATTAATTTTTTGAAATTATAAATTTTCACAATTAATTACTTGCTAAAGTTACTAAATTTAAAAATTAAATTATTAACTCGAATTTAATTTAGAAGAATACAAAAAAAAATTATAAATTAATTAATTTTTGAAAGTAATTAACTTCTGATAGAAATTAATTTTTGAAAATAGTTAATTTCCAAAAGTAATTAATTTAAAAAAATAATTTATTTACAAAATTAGTTAATTTTGAAATTAATTAATTAGAATTCATAGATTTATTATTTTATTCAGTACAGAAAAAATGAGAAACTTTAGAAATTAATTAATTTCTGAAATTAAATTAAAAATTAAAATTTCCTGCAAAAATTATTATTATTATCATTTATTTCCCAACCTTGCCAGCAATCGAATCATCAAATCCGTTCAAATAAGTGCAACTCAAATCCTTATAATAACAAGTCAAATTAACTGGATCGTACGAAATGTGTCCTGTATTATTACCAAAATTACAATTTCCCGCTTCGTCATTAACCACAGCTAATTTTAATCCTTTTGGATCGCCGCCGATTGATAGAAAAAAACACATTACCTCAGCTATTGGAAACAATAGCGCAAACAGGATTCCTCTAAGCAAAGGAAATAAAAAATTGAATTTGAATAAATTTCTTCATTTTTATTCCAAGCGTAATTAGCATTCTAATTTTAATTGCAAATGTAATAAATTACGGAGGGATCATTTTTTTTTCTTTCATTATTTTTTTTTTATAAAGATATTTCATACTTATTGCATTGCAATAAAAATTATAAATTTTATACTAAATTACGTTTTCATATTTTGAAAAAAGAAATATTTTTTACCCTGGATGACGCAGGAACTGTAGAGTATTTTTTATTATCAGTGCTTTAAATCTCCTAAAGGACGATTCCCTCCAACTTTTTTGACTAATTAGACGATTTTCGTTCATTGGATAAATACTCTGAAATCAAAAAGGAAACGGGTTTTTTTTCTGGCGTTTGTAAATTTTTCTATAATAAAATTTCTTTTTAATATTCTATAATAAAATTTGTTTATAATAATATTTTCTCTAATACAATTTTTTTTTAATAAAATTTTTTCTCATGAAATTTTTTCTAATGACACTTTTTCCAAAATAAAATTTTTTTTAATAAAGTTTTATTTAATAAAATTTTTTCTAGTGAAATTTCTTATAATAACTTTTCTAATATCAAACTTTTTTTGAATTTAAATATTAGTAATTTTTCTTACATTTTTTTTGCCAATTTTTCGTGGCGCTGCTGGTGAAACGACTTCATCCAATTCAGAATAATATTCAGTTTCAATTTCCATTATTCCTCGATCTTGTTTATCCTTTTGACGTTGACTTAATGCGAGAAAAGCTTCTTCCAATGTTTGACATTGAAATTTCCTTAAAAGGTGTCCAGGCGGAGCTTCGGCTAATAATTGACCGCATCGCAATAAGCCAATCTAATAAAATTAATTCATCAAGAAAATTTAATGACTCAAAATTTTTTTTATTTCGGAATGAAATTTAGATAAATATTTAGATAAATTTATACAACTTATAACTACTTGATATTTATTATTAACTATAATTATTGTAAATTTATTGCATCAATAATCTAAAATATTAATTCATCAAGTGAATTTAATGATTCAAATTCTTATTATTTTCGAATAAAAATTAAATAAATTATTGCTATTTAATATTTATTATTAATTATAATTATTATAAGTAATTATTGTAATCACTTGTATAAAGTGTACAATAGAAAAATAATTATTTACTTAATTAATAATAATTAATTAAATAAACCAAAAATTTCGTTAATATTGTGAAATTTTTATCATTTCTAGGTGAAATTTTTTTCCGTGCTCTTATATAAAATATATTATCAATTATAATTATAAATAATTATATTATTATGTTATAATTATTCTTATTTTATAATTAATTCAAAATTGTAATGACAAATAGAAATCATCAGAATTTTTTTCACTTCTTTTCATTAAAAGACTAAAATTTTGTTAATTATTATGTTTTGTCAAATTGAAATTATGCAGATTTATGTTTTTTACTTCTAAACAAAATTAGAAAATTTTTAAACAACTGTGATTAAGAAATAGAAAATTTATTTATTTTGCATTTTTTTGTTGTTTATGAATCACAATTTTTGTAACAAAATTATTATTTTGTTTTAGAAAAAGAAGACAAATATTTGCACAATTTCTATTTTTAATCTTATTTTTGAAACAGGATTTTCCACAGGAATTAAGACATTCAAAAATTCTAAATTTATTTATTTATTTAACTTCAAATCTTTTTGAAATTAAAGAACTTTTAATATTAAATTATTATCTAAAATATTAACCAAAATTCATTTTTAAATAGATTTTTATTATAAAATTCTACGAGAATTCAATTATTTAAATTCAAAAATAAATTATTTATTCAATAATTTAATGGTTATTAGAATTTAATTTTTACAAAGAATTATTAACAACTTTTAAAAATAATTAATTTATTTTTAGGAATTTACTTAAAATTTTACTGAAATTTATTATATTAAAGAATTTTATAACAACTTTTGAAAATAATTGAAAACTTTTTTAAGAATTTTTAAAAAATTTTTAAAATTAATTTAATTCCTGAGAAGAATTATAATAATTATTTTTTGAAAATAATTTAATTCAGGCGATGAATTTTATTAAATTTTGTTTAAATAATTGTAATTTTGACAAGAAGTTTATTAACATTTTTGACAATAATTTAATTCTTGAGAAGAATTTCGCTACCTATTTATAAACATAATTTAACTATTGAGGAGAATTTTTAAACAATTCTGATAATAATTTAATTTCTGCAAAGTATTTTACTATTTTATTACTTTTCAAAAAAATTGAATTCTTCTGATAAATTTTGATATCTATGAAAATAATTGGAATTTGTAAAAGAATTTTATTAAAATTCCTTAAAATAATTGATTTTATGGGGAGAATTTTGTTGTTTAATAAGATAATTGAATTCTTTTGCAGAATTACTTAGAAATTTAAAAAAATAATTGATTTCCTGAGACGAATTAAAAGTTATTTATGAAAATAATTGAATTATTGCAACGAATTTTATTATTTTATTTAATAATTGAATGTTTCTTAAATTTGAATTCTTTCGTCAAGATTTAATAAAATTTTTAAGAATAATTGCATTTTTCGAGGAATTTATTAAAAATTCTGCCGTGAAAATAATTGAATTCCTAAATGAAATTTTATTATTTACGAAAATAATATTGAATGTTTTTGTAGAATTTTATGAAAAATTTTTTTCAATAATTTAATTTTTTGATAAATTTTATGAAAATAGTAAATTTTGAAAATCATTGATTTACGAAAATCTTTTGAAAATAATTGAAATTTTGCAAAGAATTTTATTTAAATTTTTGTAAATAATTGAATTTTTGGAGAAAAATTTTGCTACTTATAAAGATAATTGAATTCTTGTAGCGATATTCGTTAAAATTTTTAAAATATTATTGAATTTGAAGAATTTTATTACATTTGAAAATAATTGAATTCTTGTGATGAATATTATTATTTATAAAAATAATTGAAATTAGGACAATAATTTTTTTTTGACATGTATGAAAATAATTAAATTTTTCAGAAGAATTTTTTTATTTATAAAGATAATTTTCTTACTTTATTCGCCTGTTTGGCTTCCTCGATATAATGAGTCGTAATAACAATTGCCGTGCCTTCTTCCACGGATAATTTTACCAGAAAACTCCAAATACTGTAAAAATTAACAATTAAACTTATTTAGAAATGAAAAAATTCGATTGAAAATTTAACACTTTTACAAATTATTTAAATAAATAAATAAAATTAAATACATATTTAAAATTAATGAAAAAATTTGAATGCGGAAATTGAACACTTTTTTCTCAAATTAATTTAAATAAATAAATTAAAATTATAAATAATTAAATAAATATTATATAGAAAATATTTTTGTTGTTTTTTTTCTTTTTTTGAAAAATAAATAAATTTGAAAAATATGTTCTCTTGATAAATTAGATGATAAGTAAAAGTACTTGCTTCTCCCGTAGAATGGGATCCAGTCCCACAGTTGGTTCATCTAAAATTAATAATTCCGGATTGTGAATGAGAGCAGCTGCAAAGGATACTCTTCTTTGTTGCCCGCCACTCATGTGCTTGACCATTCTGTTTTTTGGTGGAAGATCAAATAGTGTCGCAAGTTCCAAGTACCTTTTTTCTGCAAAAAAAGAACATTTTTTTTCGTTCACATAGTTCATAAAATACAATTGCAAATTTTTTTTTTGCAAACTCAATATTCAATTATTTTATTCTTTATTTGTGAAAAAAAATTATTTTCTTCTTTGTTTATCTAAAAAAAACAAATTTCTTTATTTATGAAATATAATTATAATTTTAATTTATTCTTTTCACTATTAATTCAAATTTAGAGCGAGAAGTAAAATAAGAAAACATATTTATTTTTTTTAAACACTATATGAAATAATAAAATTACTATTTTATCGAATATATTTTAAAATTGATTTGAAAGAAATCTTTTTTTTGCTCAAGAAAATATTGAATTTAAAAATTATTTTACCAATCATATCTTCATTGACTCCATTAATTCGACCAAAATAGTAAAGGGCATTAAGAACAGTGAATTCTTGAACCAAAGAGATTTCCTGAGGCATGTAACCTAATCGAGGTCCTGGAACTCCTGATCCTTTTGATCCTGGTTTTCCACCTAAGCACCATATTGTGCCACTGTCCAATCTTCTCACGCCAACCACACATGACAGAAGAGTGGTTTTTCCACATCCACTCGCTCCCAATAGACTGTAGCTGAAGAACAAATTTATTTCTTAGCATGGCAAATATTAAACGTATTAATTTATTAATTAATTTATTAATTTGTATTATTAATTAATTAATTAATACAAAATGAATTTTTTCCTCTTTCTCTGCATATAAAAACTGAATTATTTTATTAATTAGACTTAAGTGAAATAAAGAATTTCTATTTGCTTCATTTTGTTTATGAGAGAATTTTCATGACACCTAGGCGGCGATTTAATAAACTGAATTAAAATCAATAAAAAACAATTGACTGGGAAATTACTTTACTACTTAATAATGCTAAATTAGGTAATTTTTCAATTAATAAAAACTAAATTAATTGATTTTTTATTTAATAAAAAACTAAATTAATTAATTTATAACTTAATAAAGAAAACTGATTTTATTTATTTATTAATTAATAAAAATGAATGAATTTATTAATTAATAAAAAAATAAATAGAAAAGTAAATAAAAAAATAAACAAGAAATTAAAAAAATATATTTCCAACATAAATTTAAGAGTTCAATAACTAATTATTTTTAATTTTTATTTGTAATAATAAATTCATAACATAATTTTGAATTTTTGTGTCTTTTTTCTTTGACTCAAACTATAAAATTACCACAAAATCTAATACAAAACCTTCAATTCAATTATTGAAAATAATGGATTTATAGAAGAATTTTAGTTAAAACCACTAAAAAAAAATTTAATTTTGAAAAAGTTACAAATGATTACAGAAATTCAATTATGTTCAAAATTTACAAAAAAATTCTTCTTCAAAATTTAATTATTTTTAAAATTTTTAATAAAATTCTTGTCAAAATTTCAATTATTTTCCAAAATTTTCCTCATTTCAATAATTTTCAATATCAACTATTTTAATAAAATTACTCACAAGAATTCAATGACCAATTTAAAAACAATTTTGATAAAAATGTACGCAAACATTTAATTATTTTCATAAATAATACAAATTTTACAGAAATTCAAATATTTACTAATTTTTTATAAGTTTCTTCTCAATTATTTAATTATTATCGGAAATAATAAAACTCATTGCAAAATTTCAATTAGTTTTAATACAATTTTAATCGAATTCCTGGAAAAATGTAATTTAAAAATTTTATTAAAATTCATCAAAAGAATTCAATTATTTAAAAATTTGTTAATAAAATTCTTTATAAGAATTAAAGTTTAAAAAACATTCAATTATTCAATAAATAATTTACTTTTTTATTTAAACTATTGAATTCTCGTAGAATTTTCTAATAAAAATTGATTTAAAAATGAATTTTATTTTAAATTTTAGACAAATGAAAATAATTTTGAAGAAGTTACAGTAACAATATTCTTAGAATATAAAATAATTATTTTAACACTCGATCCTCTTTAATTATTAAAAAACATAAAGAAATCGATCACTCGGAGTGATTGATCTATTCATGTTTTATAAAAGTTTGAATTTCCATAAAATTTTTCAAAAAAAAATTAAATTATTTACCATAATTTTAATAAAAATTTTCACATGAATTCAATTATTTTCATAATTAATAAAATTCTTCACAGTATTTCAATTATTTTTAATACAATTTTAAGTAGCTTCTTCGAAAAATGAAATTATTTTAAACAATTTTATTAAAAGTCTTCGAATGACTTCAATTATTAATTATTTTAATAAATTTATGCTATAATGTTTTTTAGTATTCAATTATTATCCAAAATTTTAACTGAAATTCATTTTTAAATCAATCTTTATTAGAAAATTCTTCGAGAATTCAATTATTTAAATACAGAAATAAATAATTTATTAAATAATTGAATGTTTCTTAAAATTGAATTCTCATAAAGAATTTTATCAACAAATTTGTAAAAAATTTAAATTTTGAGAATAATTGAATTTTGAAGAAAAATTTTATTACTTTTCAAAATAATTGAAATTTTGTCAGGAATTTTTCTAAATTTTAGAACATAATTGAATTCCGACAAAAAATGTTACTACTTTTGAGAATAATTGAAGTAGGTACTGCAATGAATCAAATGTTTGCTTAGAATTTTATCAAATTTTTTTTTAATAATTGAATATTTTGGAATATTTTATTAAAATGGTAGATATATTTAAAATAAAAGAATTGATAAATTTTTGAAAATTATTGAAATTTTGCAAAGAATTTTATTAAAAATTTAAAATATTTTAAAAAGAAATTATTGTTTTCGAATAATTTTACAATGAAAGATATTCGTAAATAAAAACAGAACATCTTTTTCAATAAATTTTTTTCCTTTCTTTTCTAAAAATTCAAAAATTTTCAGTTTCAATTTCAAATAAATTTTCCAATTGACAAATATGATTTATAAACATTTTTTCCCATTATATTTAAAAAACTTTGAATTTTATTAAAACAATTGAAATTAAGAAATAAATTTGATGCAAATTATTTCCTTATGAAAATTGAGAATTTTCTACAAAAATATTAAGAAACGGGAATATCTAATGTTTTTCTTCACAAAGGAAAAAAATGAGTTTGTAAACAACATTGTTATTGAGAAATAAAAATTATGCATAAAATGGGTATATTTCCTACTTCCTAATCAGAATTTTTTTAACAATAAACAATTTTCTAGTATTTTTATAAATAAAAAGAAGAATAATTTGCATTATAATTTAGACCAGTCAAGCGAAATTTGTTATAGAAGAAAGCATATAACAAACAAAATGGGTATATTTTCTATTTGTTAATCATAATTTTTTAAACATTTTCTAATTTGTAAAATTATTTTATTATAAATCATGAAAAAATACCTGCATATTTTCGATTTGTCAAACAATATTTAAAAAAAAATCGAAAGCATACACAAAAACTTTCTTTAAACTGCGGACAGAATGAATGAAAGAATACGTAGATTATATACTGATTAATGTAATTAATTAGTAATATTAATAATGATATATTGAGTTGAGACAATTGAAAATCGTTTAAAATATTATTATTGAATATTTATTCAGAAACAATATTTTAAACGATTTTCAATTATCTCAATTATTATTATTATTGCCTCTAAAGTGGAACTGAAACGATAAATTATTATTATTGCCGAAAGCAATCAACGAACTTTTCATGGCAATTATATTCGGTCTATGGTCATCAAATAAAGCTTTTGTTTGCTTAATAATTATTGCGGATCAACATCGAGAATAACAAGGATAATTAATTTAAGATAAGGTCAAAATTCAATTTGCCCAGTTTGCTCCAGTTTTCATTCATTGAACAATTTGAAATAAAGAAGAGAGAGAGAAAAAAAAATGAATTTTCACTCAATTTTATTTACTCTCATTATCATTACAAGTGAATTAACATTTTCTTCAATTATTTCTAGAATACAGAAAATTTTACCAAATTATTCATTAAATTTTTCCACAATTAATTTCACGAATAAAAATAAAAATAATATTGTTGGGGAAAAAAAAATTCTCGACACACATTTTGACAATAAATTCATGTCGTTAAATACCAGTGATGTTTCTGATTTTCCTCAAGGATTTAGTGATATTGAAGTCAGGAATACAAATGATTTGAAGATTAACGAGAAATTGGCAAGAAACGAAGAGAATTTAAAGGAAAATTTCGATGAATTTATGAATGTGACTGGTAAACAAAGGAATTTTACATCAGTTAGAGAAAATATTGTTTCTAATGAAACTCTTCGAGAATTATTATTAGAGACGATTAAATATTGTTTGAAATGTCTTCATGAATTAGCATTATCGCAAAATTTATCCGATTTTGTAAAATCGCTTAAAGAGGAAAATTTTTTAATTGAACAATTTTTAGAGAACAAAAATTTAGAGGAAGAAAATATTTAAAGGAAAAATATTTAGCAGAAGGAGAAAATTTTTTTCCAAAAGGAAAAGTTTTACTGTGCGCAAAGAAATTTTTCTTCTAAATCTGTAAAATTCTACCCAAACAAATATTTTATTTCTCGAATTAAATCCTTTTTGAGAAATCTTGTTAGAAATTTGAATTCGGTGAAAAAAATTTAAATTTGCAAAATTCTAACCAAAAAAATACTTATTTCTTGAATTAAATCCATTTTACAAAATCTCATGAATTTAAATTCTACAAAAAAATATCTAATTGACAAAAAAAAAGTAATGAGACAAAGGAAACAATAAAAGAAAATCTTGAGGATAAAAATGTCACTTCTTGAAAAAAATCCAATATCATAAAAATAATGGGAAAAAAAATCTCGAAAAGCATTTTCCCGAAGGTTCCCAGCACTCGAAGCACAATAGTCATCAGCGTTCGCCAAAAATTTATGATGATTCTTTAACGACGACAATGCCTTTGGAAATCGTATCCGATCTCGATATAAATACAACAAATGCCAATGGAATACAAAAGGATTCTAAAAGTTCCTTGACAGAAGTTCATGGTCTTGAGAAGCTCGTGAAAAAAAAAATTCATACGTGACACGAACACGAGATAAAAGAACAATTCCCAATGATGCACAACTGCGAATGAATTTCAATAATTTGCAAATTCTCCAATTTTTCCCACAACAATAAAATGTGAAACGTTCAAGTTTTAATAAAGACAAAATAATCGGAAGAAGAAGACAGATTGTGACTACCGAATTTTTTAGAACAAAAGAATTTAAACTATTTTCCATATTAGAACTTGACTATTGTCAAATAATTTTTATTTAATAAACAATTAAATATTTGCATTAAACCATGTAACGTAAGTTTTATTTGACATAAAATTCATTTAATAAAATTCCCATTTAACAAAAAATTTAGTTGACGTGAATTTCACTTGACATAAAAATAACTTGATACTTGATAAAAATTTAATTCAATTTATATTCAATATCAATTCATTTGACGTAGAATTTGTGTCATTTGACACAAAATTCATTTAGTGTCATTTAACATACAATTCGTGTCATTTGACATACAATTCATTTGATGTAAATTTTATTTTAACCTAAAATTCATTTTTCATAAATTTCATTTGGCGTAAAATTTATTCGACATAAATTTTATTTAACGTAAATTTTATTTGACATTAAGTTCATTTGACATAAAAGTCATTTAACGTAAAATTCACTTAACACAATTTTTATTTGACAAAAAAATTAAATGGCTTGAATTTCACTTGACAAAAAATCCATTTGACCTAAATTTTACTTCATACAAATTTCATTTGACATGATGTTCATTTGACATAAAAGTCATTTAACATAAAATTCACTTAACACAATTTTTATTTAACAAAAAAATTACGTGGCATAAATTTCACTCGACATAAAATTCATTTGACCTAAATTTTATTTGCCATAAAATTCACTTTACATAGTTTTTATTTGACATAAAAATATCGGCTCGAATTTTAAAAGTAAGCAATCAGATATTTTCAAGAGAATTATGTTTGGCTAATTTTAAAATTCGCGCTTATATTTTTAAGTAAAATAAAATCTATGTTAAATGAATTTTATGTCAAATGAGAATGTATGTTAAATGAATTTATGTCAAATGAAATTTAGGTCAAATGATTTTTGTACTAAATTTAATTTATGTGAAATGGATTTTTTTATTTATATATTTTTTTATTTTTTATTTATATCTAATGAATTTTAAGTCAAATAACGTTTATGTCAAATAAATTTTATGTTAATTAAAATTTGTGGCAAGTTATTTTTATAACAAATGAAATTTATGTCAAGTGATATTTATGCCACGTAATTTTTTTGTTAAATAAAAATTGTGTTAAGTGAATTTTATGTTAAATGAATTTTATGTCAATCGATTTTTATGTCAAATGAATTTTACGTGCAATAAAATTAAATATGAATATTTTTTAAAAACAAAGAAAAAAATTGTTTATAAATTATATTTGTCAACTAGAAAATTTAATTGAAAATGAAACTGAAAATTTTTAAATTTTTAGAAAGGAAAGGAAAAAATTTTATTGAACAAAATGTTCTGTGAAATTTATTTACGAATATCTTTAATTGTAAAATTATTCGAAAACAATAATTTCTTTTTTAAATATTTAAAATATTTATTTATAATTATTTTTCCGTGGGAATTAAAATTCTTCAAAACATTCAAATTCAAACCTTTTTGAAATTAATCAACTTTAAAAATATTGTTATAAAACATAAAGAAAACAATTACTTCGAGTCTTCGACTCGGAGTGATCGATTTCTTCATGTTTTATAATAATTAAAGAAGATTGAGTGTTAAAATAATTATTTTATATTATAAGAATATTTTTACTGTAACTTCTTCAAAATTATTTTTATATTCTATTATTATCTAAAATTTAAATTAAAATTCATTTTCAAATCAATTTTTATTAGAAAATTCTACGCGAATTCAATTATTTAAATATTAAAGTATTTATTGAATAATTGAATATTTCTTAAAATTTAATTCTTAAACAGAATTTTATTAACAAATTTTTAAATAATTATTGAATTCTTTTGACGAATTTTAATAAAATTTTTTAGAATAGTTACATTTTTCAAGGATTTCGATTAAAATTGTATTAAAAATAATTGAAATTCTACAACGCTTTTAAATAAAAATTTATTTTAAAATCAAGTTTTACTAGAAAATTCTACGAGAATTCAATTATTTAAATACAAAAATAAATAATTTATTGAACAATAATTGAATGTTTCTTAAAATTAGGAATTTTATTATTTATGAAAATAATGGAATTTCAGTAAAATTTTTATTATTTATGAAAAATATTAAATGTTTGCGTATAATTTTATTAAAATTGTTTTTAAATAATCGAATTCTTTTGGGTATTTTTATTAAAATAGTAGATGTTGAAAATCATTGAAATGAGAAAAAGTTTTGAAAATAATTGAATTTTGAAGAAGAATTTTTTTTAATTTATAAAGATAATAATTGGTATTTTATCGAGATATTTTTGTAAATTTTGAACATATAATTGAATTTTGTGTTAAGAATTTGATTACTTTTGAAAATAATTGACTTTCTGCAATTATTTGTATCTTCTTTAAAATTCAAATTTTGTAGTGTTTTTAACGAAAATTCTTCTGTAAATTAATTATTTTTAATAATTAATTAAATATGTAGATTGACAAATTTAACTGATTTTAGAAGATTTGGAATTATTAAATTTTTTCAAAAATCTAAGTTCATTAAAATTTCTAATTAAATTCATTCAACAATGAAATTTTATAAAATTTCAAATTGAAACCGTTTGAAGGTCATTTATTTATGAAAATTGGTATTGGCAACTCTTTTAAAATTGAATTAATTTTGAAATATTTATGTAAAATTATTCATTAAATAATTTTTGTCAGAAATTGAAAAAATTGAAGGTTTTGTATTAGAATTCGTGGTAACTTTATAGTTTATGAGTCAACAAAAAAGACACAATAATTCAGAATTTTCTTATGAACTTTAAAAATTTAATTTTTTTCAGTACTTTTAATAAAAATTCTTGACTTTTCCCTGAATTCCCTACGTCAGAATATATGATTATTATAATTATAATAATATTAAAATTATATATTCCAATTAGTATTTAATTTTTATAAAAAAAAATTTTAAGTAAACATTTTTACGTTTTATTATTTTTAAAATTGCTATTTTTATTGAAAAGAGTGTGTGAGAAATCAGCCGCGCGTGTAGGTGCGCTAATTGATGCTAGTAATAATTATTATAATACAATAATAATTGTAATATAGTAGTAATAATTATTCTTTCAAAGTTAAAAGAAATAAACTATGCGCAATTGAATAAATAATAATAATTATTAAAAGACAGTATAATTATAATTAATTTAAATAATATTTGCATCGAATGATACTATTTATTTGTTTACAAACAAATAGTAATTATACGAAATTATTGTACTAGTCATACATTTTTTTTCAAATATTCGAATCATAGATAAAGCAGCAAAAAAGGTTTTAAAATTAGCGTTTTTTGTTCTATGCCATCATTAAGTTTGCAGTGTATAAACATATATGTACATGTAATATGAAATTATATGCTTTGAAATATCTCATTATACTCACATAGTTCCACGAGAAACTGTCATATTTAATCCATTAAGGACAAGATTTGCTTTTCCATAATATTTCCGTGCATTTCTAACGACAATTGCTTCCTGAGAAGTCATTTTCATAAAAATTGGATCCTCAGTCGAGGGAATTTGATCTACAACAGAAAACATTTTTATATTAAAAAAAAATATTTTTCTTTTTGCAAAAAATAAACATTGTTTGTTTTTGCTTTATACTTACATGCAAATAATAAATTAATTTAATACAAACAAATTACAAAAATTATCAAATTAAAGAATGAAAAAAATAATAATTGTAAATTAAAAATAATTAAATATGATAGAAGTTTTTCTATCGTTTTATTATCGTTACTTATTCTTATTTTTTATAGTTTATTTACAAGAAACTAAAAAAAAGGGGGAGGAAGTTCTATAAATTTTTATAAGAAAAAAATTATTAAATTTATATTTCTTTATTGAATTATAGTAATTTATGAGTTTTTAAAAAATATAAATTACAAATTTAACAATTATTTAGTTGTAAATATTTTATTGTTTATTAATTAAAAATTAGTTGGTTATAAACTAGTTAATTAACTGGTTAAAATTAGTTAATTAATAACTAATTTTTTTATTTAAAAATTGTAATTTTTGTTTACTACTAATCATAATTTATAATTTATATAAACAAATTTCATAAATGGTAAATAAAAATTCTTTAATTATTAAAAATACAATATAATTATTAACTCTAGAGGCTAAATGTTAAATATAATTTGTTTGAAAATTTCAATAGGGCGATTTCGAAAGTTGTATTCAAATAATTATGAAATTTTCTAATTTTTTTCCAAGAAGTTCAATCGATCTAGACACCTCGTAATTACATATTATTTATAAAGAAAAATGCCAAAGGTTATTTTGTAAAAAAAAACACACCCCTTTTATTAAAATCGAACATTCTCTCCACAAGTTACTACTAATATACCCAAAGAAAAAAAAAAGAATTAAAAAAAAATTTTTTTTTACCAATCTTTTAAATTAAAGTATTACGTTTATTAACTTGTCATTTATAAATTGCTACTGTGTAAACAAGTATCGTGAATGTCATTTATTATGGAAAATAGATGAAAAATTGATCATTCGAAAAGAATTTATAGCATTTGGAAAATTTATTTCGTGATTTTTGTCTGTTTTTTCTTTTTTTTCTTCTTTTTTTTGCAAAGAAACACATATTTCTTAAATAAACAACTTTTTTTTTGATAATAATGCAGGAAAATATTGAATATTAGCAAAAAAAAAGAGAAAAAAATTCAAGAATTATCGTTAATGATGCGTAATTTAAATTGAATCATTAATAAATTATACTTGAACTTTTATATTATATGAGAAATCAAGAGGGAATTGCAAAAAGACATTTATGCAAAAATTTCCATGAGTAAGCAGATAGTTTTGACATGCAACATATTTAGTGGAAAATAACGAGAAAAGTTTTCGGACCAATAAAGAAATGATTCAGAAAAAAATTACAAGTGGTGGGGGGGGGGGGTAAAAAGATTTTTAAAAAATTATTTTTGCAATAATTAAATTCTGATTTACAGATTTTTCACTTTCGACTGCCAAAAAAAAAAAGAATTAAAAATAATACAAATTTTAAAATAATGCAAAAATTAAAAAACAATACAACCATAAATCATAAAATAATAAAAATAATACAATCAACAAATATTTAAATTTTAAAGCATTACAATTAGTACAATATTATCAAATTCAAATAACAAATAATGCAATTAATTTTGCATTTAAAAATATGTGAATATTTCCAAAATCATAAACTGACATAAATATTCCGATCAAGTTTTGTATTATTATTATTATTATTAATTTATCAACGTTGGGGGCCAATAATAATTTTTCAGTGACCATTTCCTATTGGAAATTATTATTATTATTGCATTTTTTATTTAATCACGCGTGTATCGAATTTAATTAATGAGATCTATCAAGATTTTCAAGAAATACAATTGACATCGAGCAAATGCATAAATTAACACTTGTCAATTTAGTTTGTGAAAAAAAAAAATTGAAAAATAGCACAACCGCTTTTTTGTTGATAATTAACAAAAGTGATTATATACTTTTGACTCAATTAAACGGAAAAGTGTAATTTCAAAAAAAGCTCTTAAACACTTTTTTATTCTCTCAATTCTGAGCAATTTATTTAAGATCAACATTTTTTTATTTAATTATTTATGGTGAGGAAAATTTTTAATTGTAATAAAAAAAAGTGTTTAATGGTAACAAAAAAAAAGTCGTAACTAAAAGTAAAATCGTATAACAGAAAAAAAGTTTTAATACCACTGAAAAAAAATTTTTATTTAATTTATACAATATTGATTACTTGTCTATAAGCTAATAAATATTTACTTGAATCAAAAAACTTTTATTTAAATAAAATTAATTTTATTTGCATCCATACTTTCACGATTTGAAGCAAGTTTATTGAATTACAAAATAATTTGTTCAATAATTTAATTTTTCTTTTATTATTTATTATTATTAGGTATTATTATTATTATTATTATTATTATTATTATTATTATTATAATTATTATTATTATTATTATTATTATTATTATTATTATTTTTTTTATTTTATTATTACTTTTATTATTATTTCTATTATTATTGTTATTATTTTTATTATTATTATTATTATTATTTTGAAAAAAATTAAAAACTCTTCTCACAAATAAACTAAAGTTTAAAAAAATATTTATTGGTAAAAAAAATTATTTTTAAATTGAAATCTAATATTATTTTGACAAATATGTTTATTTGTGGATTATTGTCTGTCGAGAAATATAGGTCAGGGTTATGCACTGTGCCTATGAGATTCATCTCTAGGTGTATACCTAGGGACAGAAAAAAAAACTGACAAGTGGCAGACTGATTTACCGTTATAAAGGAACCGCTTGATTATAAAACATACTATACCACATTCCACTATGAGCATCAGGGGAAACCATAATTCTAGCTCTAGGTCAATGTTCTTTATAATCTTGCATTATATGCGTCTCTCTTTTGTATATCAAAATTATCTACTTGTCCATAATTAAATTTTTAGATAAAAAGAAATCTAATTTAAAAATAGTATTTATATTTTTACACAAATTTTTTTTTTTTTTTTTTTTTTTGCTTTATTCATGGATATTAAAAGAATTATTGTCAATTTCTTACAATAATTAATTTTATAAATAATAAATAATTTTAAATATAATTAAAAATTTTAATAAATAATTTCAAATAATTTTAAATTTTTATAATTAATTTTACTAATTTTAAATCATTTTTTGAAAGAATTTAACTGAAATTTACAAAGTCAAAATTGTCTATTCTTCTAGTAAAAATTTGGAAAATTGTCAGTTTTCATGTTATAAACTTTAGTTTAGTAGATATTTTACAATTTTTTAAATTACAATCGACAAGATTTATGTTCAATTATCAGGAATTTACATACCTTAATAAATAAATAAGAATTAATTGAGTAGAATTAAAGACTTCTTTATTTATTTATTTATTTATTTATTTGAAGAAAATAAGAATTTTAATAAAATTCATATGTTTAATATAAAATTTAAATTGTTTATAATTTTTTTTCTAATTTTATTTCAATTAATTATAATTTTTACTTCAAAATTTTCAAATTAAAAAATTTTTGTTTCCTTGTCAAGAATTAATGTATTAAAATTGAGAAATTTTTTTGTAAATTTGTATTTTTTGTAAAATTTATAATTTTTATAAAATTTCCAACTTTTACAAAATATCTGTATCAGTAATACTTGAAAAATATAAAATGATCTCTCATTTTCCATTATATAATATACGTGAATTTCTTGTTTCTCTTAAATACAAGTTGTTGAAATATTGTAAAATATTAATAACTAGCAATAAGGCAATTTTCAAACTTTGTTGACAGTGATTAGTTTATATCGCTCTTTTACATTATCGTAGAATTCAAATTCTACTTTCTTTATAAATAAATTGAAAAATTCTCTTTTTCAATCGTGTATTTATTGCAATTTTTTGTTTTATTTTATTTTTTTTCTATTATTAACATTATAAAAAAATTTTATTTATTTACGTGTGCGAGTTTTTTTAAATAAAAATTTTGTTAACTTTGAAAAATATTTCTAAAAAAAAGAAAATAAAAGAATTATTTTACGATAATAATCCTCTTTGCCCCGAATAATAATCGTTTTACCCCAAAAGTTGTATTTACACCCCTATTTTTACACTACACCCCAAATTTACGATATTTAATAATAAAATGCACCCTCACTTTTTTTTAAATTGTAATTTTTATTATTAATTTTTATAATACACTGAAACGTTTACTGAAGTAGCACTTAGTAAATATTTTTCAAAACACAAACTGATCTCAACGCTCTGGTAAAACTGATTATAAACTGAGACACTGATACACAATTTTACCTCAGTTTACTTCATTTTAATGAATTTTAAACCGGTTTCAATGAAAAACAAGTAAAAAATTACCACTGTTTTTCTATCTTCACAAAACTAAATATAATCAAATATACCATAAATATTTATATTTGTAAAAAAAATATAAAAATTAATTACTTCTATTTATGTCATTGAAAGTTTGAATTAAAATTCATTTAAACTAGAAAAATGAAGAGAAAAATCCAAATTCGAATTTATAATCTCGATTTTTTTATTTTTAAACTTCAATTTTTTTCACTATTTTTTTTTTTTTTTTTTTTTTAAATAAAAAAATACTTTCAAAGTAAAATAGCAAAAAAAAAAAATAAAAAAAAATAAAATTGTTCGAAAAATTTATTAGATACCTTTACGTAAAACCATTATTTTCAACTAAGAAGAAAATTAATTGACAGTTTAGTACTCTTTACGAATTGTGAATAAATACTGAGAGTTGATTCCTCAGGTAAAGAAGACAATTCCTCGAATCATTATATATTATGACTTCATGCAAGCTCAATAGTTCACGTATTTGCAAATTTTTCATGATAATAATTTTTTGCAAATTCATTATAATATGATAGGCAATTTTCTTTTTTTTTTAAACTATTTTTATACGTTTTTGAACAATTTGATTTGTGAAGAAAATTTTTTT